GCTACAAAGCATGGAGACTATCACTGACAATCTATTGGGTTTATTTAGTAAGACAGACAATGCCATGACTTTAGAGATTACCTTTCATTATTCTTCCAGTTGTTCTAAGAACATATTTTTTTGTTGTTGTTCCTACAGGACAGATTCATGGCAGCTCGTTCAGACACACTGTCTTCCTTCCTCATCTAATAGCATTGGCTGCTCCCCATTTCAGTTCCATGAAGCTACCATCTATAACTCTGTCAACAGCTCCATGTGGAAAAGAATAACTATCCAGCTGCCTGATCATGTCTCTTCCAGGTAGGTTACCAAAAGGTCAGCTCACTGTGGGCCTCTAAAATGTCAGCTGTCTTGCTGGCACTGTCAGCTTTGGAACAACTGGTGAATTAAAAATGCCTCTTTATTGCTGGATTTAGATCTGATACATAATTAATGATTTTTGAGAAAGCTTTTTGTTAATAAATGTGGCTACTGCCAATAATGTAGTAGTCACCCATTCAGGTTTGGTCTGTCTTTCTAGTTATTTAAGTCACAGCCCTTTCATACAACATTTTTCATTTCATCTGCTGCTGACATATTTGAATGTTATTGTGCAGATGTGTTTAATTGCTAGATATCATAACATCGTATTTGGGTTTTGATATTTGCAGTGCAACTCAGTTCAGGTGGATTCAGAAAGGAGAAGAACTAGAGAAACAAAGCTGGGCAATCGACCACGTGTACATTGGGGAAGCATGCCCTAAGCTCTGCAGTGGTCACGGATACTGCACAACTGGAGCCATTTGCATTTGTGATGAAGGATATCAAGGTTTCATTTTTTCAATTTCTTTCTTATACTTCTACTGCAGTCTAATCTAGCTCAAAAGTAAAAAAAAAGATATAGACAGAGTGATATATCCTGTCTATATTTATCACTGGAATGCTTGAGTAACAGGCTATAAATTCATAATTTGTCAGGGCTGCAAGTAAAAACTATTCCCTTCCTTTCCTCTTCCTGGGTTGAGTCAGTAGTCTCTGCTGTCCGGCACTGTATTTAAAGCCCATTCAATCTTCACTGAAAGCAGGATGTGGCTACCTGCTTACCCAGACACAGCTTTCACCCCTGTATACCTTCCAAGGGTGCAGTCACTTCCAGGGGATGTGTACATGGGATCCAGACGTTGGTGACTGGCACCTGCAAGGGATTCAGTTCTGTGCCCCATCACAACAGACCATTTTGCTCTAATGCTGCAATTCAGATGAGCAGATGTCTAACGGTACCCGAGTGTCCTCATGAAATTATAAGTGCTCTGTGGGAGTGGAGCCGGAGCATTTAGAGCCATCCAGGACAGTCCCATAACTTTATGAGCTCAGATTCCTTCCCAGTTTTAAAGGCATTTCCTTTCCCTTCAACCACCTATTTGAGGTTTCCCTTGTTGGCACCAGTGTAAAACAGGAGAAACCTTGTTGTGATACTTGAAGTTACACTGCTGTAAAAAATAACAGATTAGCAGCCTTGATTTCATAAAAATGAAATCTTTACAGCAATATGTGCACTATTAATCAATCTGCCGAAACATATTCAGCATGTAGTCCCACTGTGTACTAGGCCACAAACTTGAATGTAATTACAATTAACTGTAACTGAATTTTCCCAATTATTTTGATTTTTTTGTGTGTTTTATAACTTCACTGTGTCATTTTTAGGTGATGACTGCTCTGTTTTTAGCCATGATCTCCCCAGTTATATTAAAGATAATTTTGAATCTGAAAGAGTCACCGAAATAAATTGGGAAACCATTCAGGGGGGAGTGATAGGGAATGGATGTGGACAGCTGGCACCCTATGCCCACGGAGATTCACTCTATTTTAATGGATGTCAGATACGACAAGCTGTGACTAAGCCTCTGGATCTCACCCGAGCAAGGTAATACTGTGAGCATAAAATGCTCTTTCAGCAGCTCATGAGACATGAAATTATTCCTATGCATGCAAAGCCATGTGGGCCAGCACTGAAGAGGATGAACTAACCTGGCTCTACTGTGCAGTCAGATGTGGCTGGCAGATAAACATTAGGGTTGGCAGAACACTTTGTGACTTTCATTTGGGAGACAGAGAGTGAGGAGGAAGCGATGTCAGGTAAAAAGGTCAGATGTTTTCATCATGCCCAACAGAGCACTGCCTGGTAAGCCAGAACTGACGATGAAGCCATTGGCAAAGGGTGGATACCAGACTGTCTGGATCAGTGCCTGATCTGATAAGACAAATCCCATGTTTGTATGTGCCTCCATGGCAGTCATGAGTAAAGATGCTACTAGCAATTATGGACTCATTTTCCTGTTTCTGTTGTCAAATAAAATTATATTCACCTGGCAATGAGCAGGAGTATCTTTCTCATCTATTAAGTCTCTATGGCCATGGAAAAACAAATGTGACCAGCCTGTGCTGACCCTTAACAGAGAGACAGTTTTCTGGATTGGTTTTGTATTTAGCTGTCTAACAAATGATTAGAAACAGGGTGAATCAGCAACGGGGCCACATATAAATCAGACACTTCATTTCTTGTCTGAACACCTAGGTAGAATATTAGAAACCTTTGTTCAACCTTCATTTGTCCCTTTTTAGCTTTTCATGCATTCATTTGCATATTTATTCTGTTTATGTATCTCAGTTTTGTGCAGAAACATTGTAAAATTGTATCTATTGCCTTCATATATATTGAAATGTTATACACAGTAAATTATTAGTTTGAAAGGAGAATCATGTTTTAGAGATGTGAGAACAGTTTATTTTTTATGCTAAAAGTAATGATTCTTGAGAATCCTGAACTTTTTGTAATAACTGCAATAAATCTGGAAGTGCTGTTGTTCTTGTTTGAATACTTTTTGCATATTGAGAATACCTTTTTTTCTCTTTGTTTTACAGCAAAATCATGTTTGTTTTGCAAATTGGAAGCATTTCACAAACAGACAGTTGCAATACCAATCTAAGTGATCCTAACACTGTAGACAAGGCAGTGCTCCTCCAATACAGTGTAAATAATGGAATTACATGGCAAGTAATTGCACAGCATCAGCCAAAGGACTTCATACAAGCCCAAAGAGTGTCTTATAATGTTCCCCTGTGAGTACCTAGTCGCATTTCATTACCTCTAAATGCACAAGATAGATTTCTGCTAGGAAAGACTTTATTGTTGCATCACTGCAAGAAAAACAAAAGGTTGGTGGGAGGGTAGGCAAAGAAGGAAGCTTAAGTGGAAGGCTGATTAAAAATGTAAAGTGTAGTCTTCAGCAAGATTTTTGGAAAAAAATACCAACAGAATACTTGTTCGGAAGATAAGTGTGGGGGGGAAAGTATTTAATTCATCCTTCTGTGTGTGCATTTTTCATCATTAAAGGTTTTGTACTTATAGCATGTTGATATGCTGGGGTGTACAAACAATGCTTTGGCATTGCTCTCAGTTCATGTTGGGGGTTAGACAGAGAAGTGCAAGACTTTGATAGTCTGGAGCTCTCACAGGCTCTTGTGTTTGTGACAACAGGGAGGCACGAATGAAGGGAGTCTTACTGCGCTGGTGGCAGCCCCGTCACAATGGAACAGGTCATGATCAGTGGGCTTTGGACCACGTAGAAGTCGTCCTGTGAGTATCAGCTTCACCTCATCCCACCCCATCTCAGAAAGTTCTGAAATACCTCCAGCATGGCACAAGTGTTAAGCTCAGTAAGAACTGTTTTGGCCCAGGGAAACCTTTGAAAATCAGTCTTTGCTAATGCTTTGCCCTGGCAGCGACTGGCAGCAGTTAAGATGGTCATGAAATAAGCAGCACAGCAGGGGCATGTGTTTTGTCTCATGGAAAAACACAGGAGGGAAAGCGGGGCTTTATCACCACCAAGTATTGGTGTGTTCCTGTAATGCAGCGATGACTGTGAAATATATCGTGCTGGAACATAAGAAAGGATATTTCTATTCAATGCTGTGCTGCCATATAAAGCTGATTTATGTCCTTTTGAAGATACAAAAGAGTCTGCTGTATTGCTCTTTGCACAGAGTAATGTTGTTGTGCCTCTGAAAAATTTGCATTAGCAACTAATGCCTTATTCATTTCCTTTTTTAGTAAGAAGGATACTGTTCAGAAACAGGGTTCACTATATCAGGTTCCTATGGTCTGAGCTCTATATTCATCCCCTTCTCAAGATTTTACCAAGTAAAGTGTCTTCACCCTCTTGATTCTCCCATTATTGAGATGGGTTTTGCTCACAGCTAACCCATTTTTTCCTGTGTTACGTCACAAAGAGATGACCTGCTTTTTCTCTAACAATTTAGCTCCAGTAGAAGTGAAATGCTAGTGGCTTCACGGGAGGGAACTCATCGCTGACAGTGGTTGGCAGAGAGAGGCGTGCCTGCTCCATAGATAGGTTCAAACATTCCTTTTATTGAATAATTTAAAGACCAACATTGAAGAAATTAGGCTTGGATAACATCCAGACTGTGTAATTATAAGGTTTCTGTCTTTAAATCTGAATTATCACAGACACTGCAAGTAATGTTTTGTAACAATAGCAAAGTGGATTATCTGATTGCTAGTTAGCCCTGTTCTTCCTTCCACCAAGCAGCACCAGCTTGCATGGCACTCATATCAACCCCAAGCCAAACTGGTCCCAACACTGAGTAACTGTACACGCTCTGCTGCTTTTACACACCTTGCTGGGCTCTGCTTCCATAACATTAAGCTTAAAGCTTGAAGGAACAGAGGGATGGATGGGATTCCTGGCTTAGTTCCTCAGTGGCTGTACGATGCTGCATCAAAAAGATATGAAAGAGCATAAACCTGCAGGAAGTGTTTAGAAAACCATGGAAAAGGGAACTGCCAGTTACAAAATATTCACATTTCTTTCTGCCTTTCAATTAAAAATAAAAAAATAAAAAAAAAAAAGGAAAAAAGAAACAGATGGGAAAAAAATAGAGCATACTATTACCCATCAATCCAAATAGGAATAAGGATAAGTTTTTAAAAAGGGGTTCTTAGGCTGAATTCTGAAGAACTTCTTGGACAGTGAGATTTGCCAAGTCATAGTCTAAACAGACAAGTCAAGCAGTAACAATTCAATCACAAGAGGTATTTTATACTAGAATGGAAAAAGCAATAGAAATGCTGTAGCAAGCAATCACACCTTGCCAAGGGAAGGAACCAGATGGGCAAGTGGGCAAGCAGTGCCTCCTTCTTTCTCTTCTGTTTTGTACATAGATGCTCCCTCAGGAGGCCTGGGTTTTCCTTCAGCTCTGCCACTTCACACTGGTCACTTTACCCCTCAGCACTTCAGCTTCTTCACCTGTAAAACGATGAAGATGCTGTGTCATTGCCATGGAGTGCTTCCAGGCATGCAGAAGGGAGCCTGGGTCAGTGTCTGTTAGCACTAACCCTAGGCCATCCTGCACACACCAGAGCTACCAAGGTGTTAAGCCGCACTATGAATACTAGGGATAGGACTTACACTTAATTCTTAATATTCTTACATTTTCCAATGACCAGTGTGGGCTGTAATCTCTGAGTTTCCTGGGATTTTCAATGGTTGAAAGACAAAGAAGTTGGGCAAGGAAGAAGAACCATCTTAGAAAGGCCAGTGTGTAACTGCAGAGAGGCTCAGCACCCCGTAGCAGACAGAGGCAGCCTGAGCTCCCAGACCACACTGCCTGTCTGCCTGCCTCTCCCAACAGCAGTGTCAGGGCCCTTCAGATGCCTGAAGGTATCTAAAATGCAAAGTAAAGGTCCTGTGAGTAGGACCAATGTGTCAGAAGTCATGTATTTTCTGGACATTTTTCTTCCTTGTCTGATGTTTTTTTCTTTCACACACTGTAAATTTTCTTTCACCTACTGGAAATCCCCATAAAATTTAAACTGAGGGAAAAAAAAGGTTTAGAAATGAAGGTGCCAGGCACAGAAATCCTGCCTGTCCCTAGAGCAAGTAAGCCAACTCACCAGGTCAGCTCTCTCCTAAGAGGCAAGGAGGCAGTGTCCCTTGGGTGCTCTTCTCCATCCACCCATGTTCCCAGAGAAAGAGCAGAGAGTCATGGCCTGAAATGAAATCACTCTGTAGGATGATGTAATTACCACTTTCCATTAATTTTATAGGGAGTCAGTAGGTTTTGCCTGGCTTATTCTTCCAAAGCTTAGACACCTTAGGAAACCTCTGTGACTCTCAGGTTGGAAATAATCCCTTCTGGCTCTCTGACCTTGTCTCAAAAGGCCATGAACATCCCTGGCTCCAGGAGCTGTTGATGGTCTGTGTCTAACACAGCCTGCACTCTGTACTCTTGTAACCCTGCCACTCTTTCACCTGAAAGAGACTCCAGCTAATGATCATAGACGTACACCCCTCTGGCCACCATCCACATTATCCTTTCTGGCCTTGTTAAAAGCTTGCTAATGATCTCCTAGGTTTTCATACTTTTTCCTGCTCTGTGTACCCACGTCACTGCAGCAGGCAAGCCTCTAACCTGTGTGGCGTTATAACAACAGCCATCCTATGCCAGGAGGTGTGGTTTTGGGTGCAGAGAAGTTCCTGGTTTTCCATACATCTCATCCTGTCAGCCCACAGGGCAGGGAGGAAACACAAATGTTTTCCTGAATCCTCTAGGTGCTACCTGTTGGCTTGGCTGTCTGCAGACCCAGAGGTGGGCAGAGCTCCACACCCAGGTGCTCTGCCAGCCTCTCCTCAGCCCAAGGACAAGTCAGCAGTGCTCTCCTTGAGCAGAATATGGGCCAGAACAGGAAGGCAAGCAAGGAAAGCACCTGCCTGAAGGGGTGTAGCACAGCCAAGGCTTTTCATGAGTTTAGTCCCCACCCAATGTGGGGAATGTCTCTGCTACCCATTACGTTCCTCCCCAGAGATTGTCCACCCCAGGGAAAATACGTGAATACCTGTTCTCATGCCTCAACTCTTCCTAGCAATCCAAGGATTTGAAATTAATTCTGTCATGAGCCCAGCTGCTGAGTCATAGCATAGATAAAGCCTACAGTGATACATAGCCAAGGTCACAACACTGCTCAGTCTAATTGACTTGAGTCAAGGGACATCATCCTCTTACCAGCAGACGTTTTCAGGATGCAATTTCTTTGTCTTCCTTTTTGCTGGAGGAAAAAAAATTAACCTACAGATAACCTGTGCATGTAAAATACATGATGGAAATAAGAAAGGCCAAATGGGTACTTTTGTATGTTCCTTAGAATCGCCTCACTTTTTAATGAAATAGTTGAATCTCTCATTAAAAAGCAGTGTTGTTAACACTGTACTGCAGCTGCAAGTGGTGCTCAGCTGGAGCCCCTCTTTCCAGCAGGTGAAACGCAGAACCTGCTTTGAATATGGTATGCATTAAATTGGTCTTGCCAACTAACCACTTGCCAACTTCTTTTAACAACGGTTGATGTCTGTCATGGGATGGGGAGAGGATAGTAATTATCGAGATGTCCAGTCCCTTTAAGGCTAGTGCCCTTTTAGTGCCACAATTTTTCTCTCCATTTGTAAAGAAAGCTTTGGGCACAACTCTCACATGTTCCATGACTGTGGCTCTTCTTAGGATTAAAAGATATATATCTATTTATCCAGACTTTAAAAAGAGCGCTTTTTTTAATGCCTCTATATTCCTGCCCTAAGAACAGCCTATGTCCAACTCTGCATTTCATCTGCACATCGTTCCTCCCTCTAAGTAGAGCTCACAGCCTGCTACTCACACGCACTTTTCTGCATGTGCACCTGGAACTGCCATTTCTTTGTGTATAGGGCAAGCCCTCACTGACCTCCCAAATCTGAATTCTGATAGAAAGTACTGAGAACTAAAGGACAATGATAAACTGAATACTAATGGTCTGATGTTGCTTTCTTTGCACCCAAAAATTAATAACGTGATCCATGGGAATTTGAGTTGTACCAGGAATGCAAGTCGTATTACCCCCACCCATTTTTTTATGGTTAATTGTTGGAAAACAGAACAAATCTCTCCATAGCCATCACTCCATGCTCTTCATTGTTAAGATATTCTCACATTTTTGGCACAAATGATTTAGTGAGGAACTTAGGTTGCATTTGGTGCAAAGAATGTTCATCTGTATCTTGCAACATTAAAATATAAATTATATATCCTAGCTCTAGCAAAGAGTTTTTATGTGGAAAAAACATTTTATCTGCTTTATTTTTTGCTAAAAAGCAATGATTTGAAAAATTCGTTTAAAATTTAAACATAGTTATAATAAAGAACAGAAATAGTGCAAACATTAGGTAGTTATCTGAATATTCACAACATTTATGCCAAATTTAATATGATGCAATCTGTGCTTTTATGACATGTTTATTATGTTTATGAAAAGTGCATGCTGAATTTTATAGAAAATAAAAATATAAGCATTGATTTGAAATATCAGGAAATAATTTGTTCAATTTTTATTTTCAAAAGAGATGAAAAGTCGTATATTGCCTCTAAACCTCATCAGGGTTTTATGACTAATCACAGTGCTGCATGCATTGAAAGGCATTTTCTAACTTGTGTTGTATTTCATTATTTGCTGTCATTGGTTTTACACTAGAATAAGGTAAGTACTTTCCCTGAATCAATATCAAATATATGTTGCTGCAGTACTTTCACAACTTTCACAAAGTTTTGTCAGTGATAGGTTGGTGGAAAATCCTTTGAACTCTCAGAGGTGTGCCAGGGAGCTTTATAGGGCCCTGGTCCTGCAGCTCTGCCCCAGGGAGTATCAGGGGAAGTTTAGCAGAAGGTGTTCAGCATCTCACCCCTGTACTACAGCAGGAATTTAACTAAGGCTGCAGCCAGAAGCATTTCTTCAATGCAATAAGTCCTGGGAATGGAGGGCACCCAGGGCACTGCTTGGGCAATCTCTTAGCTATATACGGGAGTTCCCAATTTTTCTGTAATTAATGGCTGCAGAGCTGAAGCCACAGCCAGGTAGAACATGTCAGTGAATATGTATGATGGCATAGACATGCATGCCTCTTGGATGCACAGCAAGAGTTAACCAGGTAGTTCTTGTTTCTCGTAACTATACTAGTTTGTGCTGCCCCAATTAGATACTGCTAGTCAACACTGTGACTGAGCTGTGGGTTCAGCTGTGGGCATCTCACTGGAGCCAAAGAATGTTTGTCGTCAATATAAGCCATGAGAACTTCAGTCAGAGCACATCGCTTTTCTCATAACCCCCCTACAAAGCATTTGTAATTCGGCCACAAAATTTACCCAAAGCCTAGTCCTGAGAAGCATGCCTTTGTTGTTTTCTAAGGCTTTGTTCATGTTTGGTTTGGTTATCTAAATATTTTTGTTTCTATTTGGTTCCTAATGTTCCCATCAATCAGAAATAAAAACATGAAAATAAGTGACATTAGATATTTTGCTTTCTTACTGTATATTTGTATTCTGTTTGGTTATGTTCTTTTTCACCAATTTTAAATTGCAGCTTTTACTTCAGACTATGCTTTTAGAAACATACAATAGTCAGAATGGTCTACTAAAGACCCAGGTGGTCTACTTAAGTGACTTCTTCTCATAAACCGCATTATTGTACATATTTACTGAGCATGCCCTAAACAAAATTTTGTTTTCCTACATCAACTGCATATTGTTTTCATCTAATTAGTATAACTCCAGTGACTCCACTCAAAAGTTATTTAGGATTTCCTCTGCAAACTGGAGCAGTATTATCTTCTATTTATTTTTTACCATTAATGAACCCAAAACTGTAGAACAGATTATGCAGTAATTGCTCCTAGTATTTGTTTTTGTTGCTGTTTGCTTCATCAGCAATACACAGATAATTATTTTGGATCTGCTCTTTTCATCTGATGGTTCAGTGAATGCACAGAAAAGGAAGAAGGCTCAGTGCACTGACAGGCCATTACAGACTTGCAAAGCAGCCTCCGAGTTGCCACTGATAGCCAAGCAACATTTCCCATCCACACCCTCCATTATGGAAGGGGGGCTTATTCCTAATACAGCTTGATGCTGCCTTACATATTTTGGGTGCTCCAAAATAGAAAATAACAGTAACGTATGTTGAAGCCCTTATCAGTCTGTAAAAATACAAATAAAGTTTATTAATAATAATATTGAAAACAATCTTAAATCCACCACATGCAAAAAATGCATAATTCTGCCACAAACTTTATTATGTAATTCTTATTGTGATCTTACAAAGCACTGCTGGTCTCTATTATCCAGTGCTGTTCTCCTACCAATGTATAAAATTAATTCAGAGAAATAAATATAAACTTATTCTCATTTTGTGAATATCAAACTATACATGATAAACAATGCAAGGCAATACAATACTGTACTTTATATCAATTTACCTATAACAAGAGTGAAAAACATGCCTTTGTCTATAATAGGCATGAAGTTTTTGTGTGGCATCTAACCCAGTAGTTGGGAAGCCTACCTCAGATTTCAGCAAGAACAAGTTTGAACAAAGCCAGTACATGGAAATAAGATAAGCATTTAGTTCTTCGCAATTTACATCGCTCTGATTTTTCACACACCGCAGTGTTCAGTGTAAGACAAGAAATACATGTGTTTGTAACATCTTGAACATCTAAAATAACAAAACAGACTGAATATACATTAAAAAAATTGTAAATCACTTCTGTATTTTAGGTAACCCTTTCTTTGTTCCTTTTATTATTTATTTCATTTCCTTTTTTTTTTTTTCATGATTATTCATTGTTTTAAACATTATTATCATAACACTAAGGCCAAATACAAAATGAAAGTGAAATACAGGCTAGGCCTACCTAGCAGCATCCAAACCAGTGAAAAACTCTGCTGAGCTGCTGCTGACCATGAGCAGAGCAAAGGCAGCAGGGAGTCAGGGGGTACATAATGACCCTGGGACCAAGAACAGCAGCTCAGTGTGCTCTGGCTGCCTAAGTCTTGACTAAACTTGACTAAGTCTTGACTTGGATCTCACATTCAAGCTCAATCCAAAATTTAACCAGGTCCAGAAACAGCAAATATTTCAGCCAAACACCTTACCAGGTTCTGTTTGGTTCCATGTACCCAGAGCAAGGCCACTTGGGGTTAGTTTGAGGAAGTTTTTGCTTTTCAAGCAACGGCTCCAGCAACTGGGGATTACAGAGAATGCAAGATTAAGATCTCCTTCAAGCCTCACGATCAATGGCAGCCACTTTCAGCAGAGAGCTCAGGGCAGCAGTTTTCCTCCTCCATTTCTCAGTGAGATGTTCAGCATCACATTGAGGGAGATGCTCCACAGAGTATGTGATCAGAATGAAGATTGGTCTTTAATGCTTCTTTGCACTTGAGCTACCAAGTGGCATTAAAACCATACAAACTCACCACTAGCAGTCTCTCACACAATTATTAATTAACACAGAACGTTTCAATTTAAAAAGTTGTGTGAAAATCAAGGACAAGTCAAACTAAGTGCCAAACACTCTAGAGCGCTGACTTACTGTGAGAGTGCAGAAAGTTGTGCTGAACACATTCATTGTCACCAGGAGCTGGATTTTGTTTCATTCTTGTGTGTACATCCAGTGGAAAAAAAAAAAAAAAAAAAAGAGGAAGATTTGTTTTTCTGTAAAATTGGATAAAGAAATTTCCAAACTAGTTGGGAACCAACTTGGAATTTCTTGGGGGTTTATGTTCTAGGTTTTGACACAACTGCTTTTATTCAATGTAGTTAATCACAATCTAAGTGAGCTGTTGAAAATTTTGTTACATGTATTTTTTAGATGAAGTTATCGTACAAAAGCCAAAGCTATCTTTGCCTCTGGAGGATCATAGTTATTTTGCAAAGCATGCAATTATTTCTTTTTCCTAGGGGCCATATTCACTAAAAATATGCTTATGCACTAGAGAGGAAAGTATAACTGATCACAGGCTGGGTATTTACTTTTTACTCACAAGGAAAACTCACAAATGATGACCTACCTTGCACCCACAAATTGGAGATTTGTTGACTGCAGTAGCTGCTGCAGGCCTTTATTTCATGTATCACCTTTAAAATCTGATGGACTCCTTGGTTTGGAGGCTTCTGGTAACATTCAGTCTCTTGGATCAGGATGTATAGGTCTGGCATCCTTCTCCCACTGCAAAGTGAAATGAGAAAGCACGGGTTCCTAAGTGGGTAGGGAGGATTGGGAAAGAGAATCAGAAATTAGCCTGAGACTGCGCAGATTCACTGAGATTTCACTGTTCTTTCCCCTGGAAACCAAAAGAAAATTTGGCCACATAGTAAACAGTGCTTTTTTTTGTGGCTGAAGTTCCTTTACTCTGTTGGAGTTGTCCTTGGTGTCTGCATGGTTAATGCTGTGCCCCATTCCCTGAGACAAACCGCATCCTCTGGCTGCATATGTCTTGTGTGCATGTTTTCCATGGGGACAGAGGCGTGACTCTCAGGTGACTCTCTATCTTTGTCTGGCCACAGTATCTGAAACTATTTTGTTTTTTAAAAGTAGTTACCTGATGGAAAGGTCTTTCCCATACCCTGGGCCTGCAGTGTGCCACAGTGGCTGTCTCTCACAGCCCCAAGCACATTGTCCACTGCTGCCCTCTCATGGTCCATTCTTCCCTCAACAGAAGTAGACACCTGAATGAGGTGGGATGGGTCTTTTTACTCCACGTGGGTCTGAACAAGTGTCCCTCCTTCAATCAGGATGCAGCCAGGCTGCCCGGTCTCCTCCCGGAGGCAATGATGCTTTCTTCCCACATCTATCTTTAATATAGGATGGGGAGTGTAGGAAAGGGAAATGTTAACTCTGCATAGAAGTGTTATACTTCATTTCCTCTGTAGTAAAAGTAGAAGATAATAAAGCAGGGTAAAGCTTTTCCTCTGTCCTCAAAATAAAGCAGTTAATGTTCTGAGATGGAAGGTGGCTGGCGTATAAAGCCACAGAGGAGAAATGCCCCACATTGCGAGGGTACGAAGTGCATATAGCTTAAGTGAATCTGGCCCTAGGCATCACAGGCTCTAATTAGCTGGAAGCTCTTAACCTTTCCCTAAGATAATGAACTGTAAATAAAAGCAAAGTGGGACAGATTCTCAATTGCCTTTTTCCTTGTTGTACAATGGGTCTGCTTTGCACTGCTTTACGTGGCTTGAAAGTTTATGCAAGGAATAAGAAGAATCTGTCCCACTAGCTCATTGCTCCAGAAGAAATTTAAGTACCTATAAAAAACTAACGTTCTTCTCTTCCTCCCCCAACCCCTTCGATTTTAACAGCACTCGCAAACAAAATTACATGATGAATTTTTCACGGCAACATGGGCTCAGGCATTTCTACAACAGAAGACGAAGGTCACTTAGACGATATCCATGAAGAAACGAGAAATTTATTTTTTCCTCCCAACATGTGATGTGTTGCTTTCCATTCTTTAAATCTAGCACTGCATCTGGTTTCAGGACTTTTCTGCAACTGGCTTGATGAATAACTGAAAGCCTTTCTCAAGGCAGAGTGTACACCACTTTTTCGCACTGTGAACTAATGAGAAGTGACTTATTTTCTCATAGGTAAATGTTTTAATGTTGATGTGTCTGTGAAAATTGTGATCTGTTGTAATATCAGTTTACAGTGGCAGTATTGGAAGTAAGCAACTAATTCTGTTTAACAGGAAAAAAAAAAGTTTAAGCACAAAGACTTTTCAGATTTTATGTTTAAAAAACGTACATACTAAGTACAGAATTTAACATTCTTTGTCACATAGGTATTTAAGTGCACTGTATTTCAGCTCTGTGTCATTTTATATGATTAAGTTATCATTGTTTGTCCTCTTTGTATTCTCTTCTACAACATGACACATTGGCACTGTATTTACTTGTTTTGTTGTTGTAATATTTTTGCTGCTGATTTTTGGGCTATTTACCTTCTGACAAAATGTATTAAAAAAGAAATCAAAGTACCTAATCAAGAAGATAATTGCAAAAGTAGTTGTAAAGGCGTTGGTATCTCTAAGTCTTATTCTTTGATATGTCTGTTGGCTAGCATTGTTTTGTGGATATTAAAAAAAAAAAAAAAAAAGAATGCTTGACATTAAACTTTTTTCTACTGAGCAGTTGTGGATGAAGCCCCAAACAGAAGTCCCCATTTCCTTGTCTAAATGTAGTCAGTTCTCTGCAACTGATTTACTTACAGTAACTGCCATTTGGTGTCTGTAGTAATGAAGTGATTTGTAAACAGTGAACGTTTCATTGTGTTCTCTTTGGTGTTTGTTTCTCTTGCGGGTCATGTTTGTATCTTCTGATAAAGTTGTATCTACACCAGCAACGTTATAATGCCCCTATAGCCCTAAACTGTCTATTATCATAAATAAAATGCTTCACTTTATGGTGAACCAAGCTAAAGATCCATGCTTCAATAAAAATGTCAACAAACGACTCTGATGTTAGACTTTTCAAGCCACGTGGGCTTTACAAGAAATCATAAACCAAGTTATTTTACTAAATACCTAGATTCTAATGCAAGCACTGATTTTTATTTTGCTTGGATACTTAGCACATCACACCTACCAGCACGTTGAAAATAGCAGTGTCTGCAAACACAAACCAAGAGATCTTCCCAGGCCGATCCATTGGCATGGCGTGGTTGTTGGAACAGGTCATAGTGCAGGGAATGAAACGGGACCATGGACCAATGTGCACTCCCGCTTTTCCTTACCTGCAAACCCAACACAGAAGTGTTACTCACCCACAGTGTCAGTGTACACCTCACTGCCTGGCCAGTGCGTAACCTCTCAGGATGGAATATTTCACAAAGTCTGAGGACAGATAGTGGTGCAAATCGGTGTTTCCAAGCTCTGAGGAAATGTAGCACAGAAGGAGCCTGCTTCAAAACAGACAGAAGTTGCTAATTGGTCCCACAGTTCTAGATAGCTGATCCATTGCGGGCCTTGCTAAAGGATGTTGCACATGTGAAATGTTTTCCTTGATGCAAAAGGAGACTGAACAAGTACTTGGAAGAAAAATCCATCATGGGTTACTGAATAGAGAAACCACAACATGTTCAGGAAATCCTCTGAACCAGTAATGACCTGGGGGTACGGGATGGGCAAGTATCAAAGAGGAGTGTCATATACACGTGCTGTGCTCTTACATCTTTCTTATGTTTCTGGCCACTGGTTGTGACACTATACCGGTCTGAACCAGTACAACATTTGCTATAAATCAATGCTCAACCACATAAAATGTGTTTAATTTTTAACTTTTTCAATCAAAGGTATCTGAGTAGTGCAGAAAAGAAAGAGAAAGAGAGAAAGAGAGAAAGAGGGAGAGAGAGAGAGAGAGAGAGAGAGAGAGAGAGAGAGAGAGAGAGAAAGAAAGAAAGAAAGAAAGAAAGAAAGAAAGAAAGAAAGAAAGAAAGAAAGAAAGAAAGAAAGAAAGAAAAAGAAAGAAGAAAGAAAGAAAGAAAGAAAGAAAGAAAGAAAGAAAGAAAGAAAGAAAGAAAGAAAGAAAGAAAGAAAGAAAGAAAGAAAGAAAGAAAGAAAGAAAGAAAGAAAGAAAGAAAGAAAGAAAGAAAGAAAGAAAGAAAGAAAGAAAGAAAGAAAGAAAGAAAGAAAAGTCATTGAGTGACCAACTAGTCAAAACCTTGGCTTGGTCAAAATTATGTGGTACATCTTTGACTAGAAATTTACTGCAAGCTCATGTGCATGCTTTGTACGTGCTTTCAATCATTGAAACAAGATAAAGGATCAATTCAGAGAAAGAGCAGAAAGAAATAAATGATGTTATTAAAGAATATAATATCTTAATGTTTGGGCAAGAGATTTTAAATTCTTGCAATAGAAAGTTTCGTCCATTGAACAAACAAAAATGCAAGATATAAACACTCCTATTTTTAAGATAATTTTATTTGTCTTAATATGACAATATGTAAGTTACGTTTCAATCTAAAATGTTTGCACAGCTAGTGTTTTGCTAGGGAGTTAATTTATATTAAGGACAACAAGATAGATACAATGAGGCAATTAGTCTGACTTCATTTTCCAGATAAGAGACCAACATAGTCAGAGAAGACGCTTTTCACAATTGTATTTATTTCTCTCAAATAGTGTATGTAATCACTGAGGAATCCCTCAAGGCATTGCACAAGAGCACAAACTGGGCATGGGCTTTTCTCAAGAAAATCATCCCTGCTGGTAGATTTCCAAGTGATTTTGTTGTTTGCCCTTCCCAGATTCCAGGAAGTTCTTCCTCAATTTTCTTCCATTGCTACGGCACCCAAGGTAGCATGCACATGCAGTGTGTTTACTGTATGCACTGTTTCATTTTTCCTCCCATATGACTGAAAGCAATGAGTCATCTGACACTAAATAGCAGTGAAATAGCAAGGGTGATACATCACATATCAAGGGCAATAAACCAATGACAGTGCTATAAAATGTACTGACAAGCTTATCTACCGATACGAAACTTTGGCAATTGTAACTCTGAATAGTTTTAGTATGCCTTGTGGTCTTTCACACTTCTCCTATCAGCTCATGGACCCATGTTCAAGTAGAATAAGGAGAACGTAAGAGAAATGAAATGAAAATAGAGAAAAGGGAAGCTCTTACCTCCTGGTGTTCTGGAACAATCAGAACCAAAAGTTAACATAATTTTGCCTAAACGTTCTTCTCTTGAGCTTGCTTCATTCAAAGATGGTGACGTTAGCTTAACCAGAAAAAATGTGTGGAGCACAAGTATTTTGAAGGACTGAATTACGCTTTGAATGAACAGGACAATTTAGAGAAATGGGTAGAAATGAAATAAAAAAGTAAATACAGTAAAGGACAATATGATATCAAAGAGCAAATGGCCTACCAGCATGCAAAGTGGGTAAATACCTGGTGAGGCAGCAAAACTTTAGGAAGAGAATCAACAGTGTAAAATATAACGCAAAATGGCATTTTTAAATATATCAAAAGAAGATATCAATAAAAGAATATATCAATTTATGGTAAAACACAGAAAACATACAGCTGTCAGTGGTGGTAAAGTACACAGCAGTTATCAGCTGTTGAGCTCTTCACTTAAATACAGATGTAAACAAACTGCAGAGATTTCAGAGTATAGCACTAAAAACAAAGCCCTTAAAGACTACGACCTTCCAAGTAGAGAGTTGGTTTGTTTAGTCTAGAAAGGAAAACACTTGGGAAGAGACATGAGAGCAGTTATAAACACAAATCTATGTTTTTTTCACTTTCTTACCCTTCAGAGCAAATGCCACTGGGCGGACTTGCTGCCCTAGCACCATCTCATTATTTATCCATCAGTGGGAAAAGGGGTCTGGGTACTGTCCAAGCAGATTATGGCATGAGGATCCACAAGCCCCACTACAGGACATTCAACAGCCACTATGCCAGCTTCCAGCAGCCACGCAAACAAACAGCAGTGTATGACAGATAAACCCCTCTCCGTTCCGCTCTGGAGCAGCACGGCTTAACTAGGTGTGACTCAACACAGCAGCTCAACAAGGGAGCTGCCTCAAAAAGGAGCTGGTGGGGGAGCCTCAGAACCAGGTTAGACTGGAAAAAAAAGGCTTGCCTACCTTAAGTATGGCCCTCTTGGAGGACTGCTAGCAATAGAAGCTGAGACCACGCAACCATACGCAGCACATCGGCTGTGACTGGAGCACTCACCATCCACAAGTGGTAGACATGTTCCTGGAAGAAAGGTGGCATCAGGAAGAAGGAACTGCCCAGTGTTCTGTCATTGATGGTTTATGACTGTTGCTGTTTTCTTCCTCTATTCTTCTCAGTTCAGCTGAAGGGAATGATCTGGCAGCAAGCCTAAGAACATAGGCCCATGCGTGGCTAATTGTCACAGAGCCTGATGAGGAGAGTTTGAGCCAGCACACGGCAAGGCAGGGCCCAGTAAAAACAGCACTCCTGGGGTGGAGGAGTACTGTACACACTGTACAGGAGGACACAGCTAACTGCTGGGTCAGTAGTTAGACTCTGTATTTCTTTTGAGAGAAAACAAGTTGGCAAAGCTTCTTTAGGAGAAAAAAAAAATAGAAAGAAAGAACATGGGGTTTGTGCTTTTGAGCCATACAGGTCAAGGGAGGTCTGTGAAAAAGTTTGTGGCAAAGTTCTTGAAAAGGGCATGGCTGCTTCCCTGACTGCCTCTGGGCCAAAGGCAGTACTGGGGGAGGCAGTGGCAAAGCCACAGGGGTAGCAGGGCTGCCACTGCCAGCACCACACACACCACTGATAGCCCTGGGTCCTTCTTTCCCTGCCCACAGACTATCCATACACGGCAGCCTTCTGCTGATGTATTGCCCCAAGCATGCTGGAAGCAGCATGTGCAAAGCCATTCAGCTGGTTTATATTCCTAACTCCGCATAATCCAAATGGCACTCAGTTTAGTTTGTTTAAAATCCAATCCTTCTCAAGGGACATTGTAAAGAATTTGCATGTCAAGGAACTTTTCAAGGTGAAAAGGGAAATGTCCCTTTTTTTGGGCCTCTGATACGATAACTGCTGTTACGGACGATAATAAAGCCTGACATGACTAGTGTATCTGTACAGGAGATGGGTGGTAACTAATTAACAGGAGCACTTTGAGAACCAAGCCAAGTGCCACTGAAATCACAAGGAAAATCACAGGCAATCTAAATGTGTGTTTTACTTCAACCAGTAAATACCCATCTCTACTGATAAGGCTGGTTTGACCTGTCCTAGGACTTTCATAACACTCCATGGTCAAACACATAGTCTTTTTTTGCCCTATAAAGTTGAGTGATGGTTAGAAGGCTCCTGAGGGAATGACCCAGGCCACCTGGTGAAGTTTTCCAGCCTGGGAGGCTCCACCACAGGTCCCCTATGAAAAGAGACAACCCGAAGTGACAGAAGCCTCCACGTTCCCCTCCCACTGAGCTAGCTGCAGGACTGCATTCACTGTCAGCAGTTACTTGAGGAAGAAGGAAGTTGAGAAGGGAATGCCCTAAGGACCGAAGCTCCAGCCAGAGAGCGAGGGATGGACCCAGCCTTCGGCAGCGCCTTGCAGCTTCCCTTGTGCTGCCAGAGAGCAGTGGCTCCTGCTGCTCCCGAGCCTGTGGGCTCAAGGAGCCCTCAAAGCTCACGCTGGGGCCCTGTCATCGCACAGCTCGGGTGGTATGTTCGCCAGGGACGGGTTGCCCACAGCTATCCTCCACAGGAATTTTTTTTGGCCTCTCCGATTGTCCGTATTGTTTGTTCTGCACCAACTTCTCCTCCCATTCTGTGTTTTGACCCCAAATCCTCTTTTCATCTTGTTTCTACTGCGTTCAGCACTATATTAATCCCTGCCCATCTTTCGGAGCTGAAGTACTGAAGCATCTTGTACCATTTTAGACAAAGCTGGAAAAAGCAATAAAAAGAACTATTAACCTTCCCAGTGGGTCATGCTAAAATGTGCACAAGAAATTAAAACCAGCTTTATTTCATGTATTTAAATGCAACTATTGACACAATTAGTTTAACGTAATCCCTGCTGTGAATTACTGTCAAATTTAAAATGATTTATACCTTTGTGGATTTCCTAGCAGGAAATCTTTACGCCGCTACTCCCGTGTTTGTTTTACGGTTTCTCCTTTTCCTCCTCTTTGTGCAGCATGCACAAGCACAGCTCTATCCGTAGTATGTTACTGCCATACCTGCTTTAATGGTAATAAAGCAACCCACAATTTCAGTACACCAAAGGGGATGAAACACCTTCCTAAGCTGATCACACCTTGTTTCTCACACAAGGTACAGGTGCCCAAATCCAGAATAAAATAATACTAATAATAAACTTCTGGATAAATAAGCCTGTATCAGAAAGATGTTGTTCCCAAAGTACCTCCATTTACCCAGTTCTGTATAAAACACTGGCACCCAGCACCACTCTACACCAAGCCTGTGGATACATTGCTCTGAAATTGTTGGTTTGTTTTTTGTTTGTTTTTCCTTCAAGATGCCAAAATGCTATACTCTGCTGGGGAGAAGACAGGTTACAACAAACCTTTTACTTAAAATGCAGCTTTGGAAACGTTTGGCTTTGAAAGTTCACTTTGACAACACTGAAAGTACTGCATTTGTTTGATTTTAGATTTTATTTCAGTTACTAAATAAACCCTCTAGCCAGGGCTACAATGCCAAGGAGTCCAATTCAGTCCAAAATAACAGAACAAAGTGAACACCAGGTTCTACAATTGTTTTTTAAGGTTAAGAGCAGGCGGCGGGGAACGCTGTCCCCTCAGCCCCACCGCCCCTTCCCGCCCCCGGCCGCGCTGAGGCGACTACAGCGCCCACTCCGCCAGCCATGGGCACTCGCCAGCCCCGCGGCATGCTGGGATTTGTAGGCGGCGGCCCGCGTTCGCCCGGCGGGGGCATGGGGACCGCGGACTACGAGTCCCAGCAGCACCCGCGGCCGGCGGACGGAGCGGGCGGGGCCGCCCCCCCCCCCTCCCCTCACTACACCCTGCCCGCGCCCCCGGCGCTCACCTTGGGCGCGGAGGGGAGGCGGCGGCGGCGGCGGGAGGCTGAGGCACGGCCGGAGGGAGCCAGCGGCTGGAGGTGAGCGGAGGGCGGCTGGGCTCGTTTGTGGGGGCTGGCTGGGCCTCCTGAGGGAGGAAAGGGGTCCCTCGTGAGAGAGGGGGCCGTCCTGAGGGGGTGGCGTCCCCTCCTGAAAGAGAGGTCCCCTTCCTGAGGGGGGTCCGTCCTGTGGGTGTCCCCTCACGGGAGGGGTCTCTGTCCTAAGAGGGGTGTCCCTCCTGAGGGGGGTCTCTTCTAAGGATGTCCCCTCACGGGAGGGGTGTCTGTCCTGAGAGGGGTGTCCCTCCTGAGGGGATATCCCTCCTGAGGGGGTATCCCCTGAGCAGAAGAGGGTTGAGAGATCAGTCGTTTCCTCATCTAACGCTTTCAGCCCTCCGGTGCTGAGCTGCGGGCTGTTGGGCTCAGAGCAGCCGCCTCAGGCATGTACCAAGCAGAAATAATAACTGCTTCCTTCTCCTCTAGCTTCAACCCGAAGGTCTTCCAGACCTTTCAATAAGTAAATAAATAAATAAATAACGGGATTGAGCTGTGCTTTTTGCAGTGTTCTGCCAAGGGACAGCACTGAGCCTCCCCCCGTGTCAGTGCTCTTCGCCTTGCGGTCTGCGAGCTGAGGGAACGTCCCGAACTCCGTAGAAGGGCTCAGTGAAAGCGACTGGAACCACCAGCCAAGAAAGTAAGTAGGCTTAAACGTGTTGTGCTGGTGTATGAGCTGCTTTTCTACAAAACTTCGGTGTCTGAGCGTTGAAAGAGGGCTGAAAGCTGCCTTTAGGATGCTTTGAAATGTCAGATATCCACATGGCTGTTTTGCAGCTGGCATCCAGAGATATGCCATCAGTAATAATAATCATTAAAAACCTAGCAATTGCTGCCTTTACTTTGCGATGACTCAGCAGAAGGTACATTCATATCTATTCCAGTCGCTCAGCATTAGTTTGGATGGGGAAGATTGACAAGTCTGAATTAGCTCCTGGCCACTGGCTTTTTTTTCTCCAAAGTTTTCGCAAAAGGAAACCAAAATTTCCAGAGAGTGTTTCAAAGCTTTTTCTCCTAAATGTGCAATACAGTGTATTCTAGGTAATAGGCATCTTTACTTATGAAAGTTCCCCAATATAAATCATATGCTACTTCATTAGCTGCTGTAGAAATGGTACAATTAATCCCTTTACCTGTACAGCTTCAGACAGCAAGCACCTGTGGGTCACTTGCAACAAATTAACTCTGTGGAGATCAACTCTAGCATTGGCCTTTCTATTTTGAAAGAGTTGGTTTATGGCAATTCCAAGTATTTCTGGGACATGTGATAGATGTTCCAGTACTGATTTTAGCAGTGTTTCTGAACTCAGCTATTTTACTGATTGTCTTGCAGTACACTGCCAACATCTCTGAAATGGAGTAGCAAGCACTACTTAGCACTGGTTACTCTAGTTGTTACTGAGCTAGGGATCACAGCCCTCAGTGAAGCAGTAGCAGCTCTAAGTCATGCTGTAAACTTGACAGGCTGCAACCAGAATAATTTGGGGGAAATACTGAGGCACAAACTGTGTCTGGTTTATCTAATAGGCAGCTATTAAGGCTTAAGGTGTCATTGTCCCCATGTCCCCAGTTTGAATGCAGTGCAACTGAAGCATTTATGTTATAGTAACTTTCCTAGCAACTTTGTAGCATCAGAACTTTAGCTGGGTAACAGAAAGACAGTGGACCTCAAAGAATAAGAAAATGACAATGACACTCTATCTGTGCCTGTCTAGGAGATGTTGATTTGATGATTAAATCAGAGTATACAAAATTCCTAGGGATAGCATTTGTTATTTCAGCTGCCTCTTCTTCCTCCAGAGTAACATTGTCACACAGGGAGAAAGCTGTAAGGTCTTTTGTTCTAATCTACTAATTATGCCATCTTCTCTCCAGCATGGAAACAGGTTGCTTCACTTTATTACTCAAGATTCAGTAGCTGTCATGAGTTCCCTCATTTCTTCCTACCAGTCACACTTTTTCCAATAGCACAGGGGTATTCTGGAGTGTCATGAGTTTCCCTGTGACCAGCTTTCACTTCCTTCTGAACCTGATGAACTGATAGACTTTTCTATAAGAACTGTTCTTCTAAAGCCTGTGTTTTGCTGTCTGGTGGCTTAGTAGATTGATAACTTTTAACACAAGAAGTCTACGCTGAAGTTAAACTTTTCACACTCAAATCAAACTATTTCCAGTTAAGTTTAGAGAATTAAATGCCTTCTTTATCCTGATGTTTCCATCTCTAGACCTGTTAAGCAGTATAATGTCCTGCTAGATCAGTTACATTGATAAGATCTTGATTTTTATTAATGATCACAAAAGTCCATATATGAATAACTGGCCTCTGTGGCAACCTGGGCTACTTTTCCTAAAGATTTGCATTAATGGTTTCTTTTGTTTTGTGCTGTAGCAGGTTGGGAGGACCTTCCATGTGACAAACAATAGCATGATTACCATTTTGGGAGGTTTTTGACAGTGACTGGGTATTTTCAGGGCCTGGGTGGAGTCTCTGTTTCTTCAGCCTTCACTGAAGATTTCTTACCAGTTTTGCACAGGTGGTGGATCAAGTTTTGCTGCTCTGCTTTACCTTCTGCCTACCTTTGTGTATGTCTAATTTTGTTTGGGTTCGTGGTGGTGTTTTGTTGTTGTTGTTTTTCAGCTGATTAATATATTTTAATAATCTAAAACCTGAGATTCTGACACCTAGACTGGGCTAGAGCTAATGTCAGATTGTTCATTTTATGCAAATCAGAGTCTGAGACAGGGCTGTGGCTTTCGAGAGCTTCTCATATCATCTCTCATAAGTAAAGTGTGAGCAGAACTTTGCAATCAGATTAAGGTTAAGCTGGCTAGACATTGCAAAAATTGAATTTTGGGCAGCTGGTGTTCATGGAGCATAATTCAAAACATAATATACCACACAGGAGAAAACTGACGTCACTACTCCAAGGTGCCTGCTGGGGAATGCTGCCCGCTCCTGTTGTGGCAGGAGCTCTGCTGAGCTCAGGCATGTCTGAAGAGTCATGTCTGGACCAAAACCACAGGTCTTTTTCATAGATGCTGGCATCTGTAATGCTGCCTTTAAATGCTGAAGTTTTGCTGCTACCATACCTTTATGGCACAGCGTGGTTGAAGTCCTTTTCCAGAGAAAGGAAAACCTGAGTTCAGTTACCCCTTCAGCACATTGGGGTTTAACCCTGCCTCGCCCACTTACTAGAACAGTGCCTACTACACAGTTTTGAATACAACACTGTTTTATAATCCCTCCTCATTTCTTTCAGTTTTAATATTTCTTTATCTTCTGCCTCTGGTCCATCTCAAAGTTCAACTTGGAATTTTGCACTGTACTTCTTGTCTGGTTGCTTTCGGTTCTGTAGTGTGTTTCTGTGTTTTCTTTTCCAGTTTCGTGTTTAAAATTGATGCTTGTGATCTTTTCCAATCTGGCATTGCAGCGCTGCAGATTCTGCTGTACCTGTGTCCACACAGCTGACCCGAGCCTTTTGTATGTGCATTTCTGAGGAAAGGAGGTTCTTGCAAGAAGTGGTCAGAGCAGAAAAATAACTCAAAGAACTTTTCTTCATTTCATTTGACAATCATCAGCCCAGGCAGCCCTGTTGCTCTTTCAATTCTTTGGTGATTTCACCCTGTTTGTGTTTGCTGTTGGAAGAACCTGTTCATGCTAGAGGTCAGTTGGAGAACTCTTCTTTGTCCCTACAGTCCTGTTTAAAGTAAGCTTTACTTATATCTGTATGAATCTGGTATAGATGAGGTTTTGGTAGGTGGTCTCCTAGCTTTGCTGCTTGCTTGAGTGATGGGCACCACTACTCCCTTAAAGCTCTCCTCAGAACATACATATCTTCAGTTCTACCAAATAAATGGCACCGATTTGTGAAGACCTCACCAACACAGCTGAAAATCTGGTGTTTCAGTGGCCTTGTCGAGTTAAAGTACAACTATGAGGGCATGAGCCTGGCAGGCTGTTTCATCAGTCCTGTACTCTTTACTGTAAACCTTCAACATAGGAAAGTGTTCAGTGCAAACCAATAACTGGAGCCAGTCCAAAGCAATTTCGGGATGTTGTCCTTGGTAATTGCACTGCTGGGATTGTGGAGCTGTTTCTTTAGCTGGGTAAAGATGAGCTTTTAGCTTGTGGTTTTAGCTTGTGTAGCAAAGAGCAGGCACAGAGCTGTCACCGTGGGGTTGAGGAAGCAGACAGTGATGTAGAGGGGGAGGACTCATTAGGTGGCTCCTCCGCTGAGGGAAGTGCATCATGTAACTACTCCCTTTGGCATACTTATTGAGTGTCAGCTGGCATTTAAGCTCCCAAGGAGTGCTGGACACACTTCTCTTTCTGGGATTTATCTTATCAGCCACAGAAGAAAAGCGAAGGCATACGGGGAGCGCAAATAAAGGAGTGGGTTGGTGTTTAACCTGAGAAGCTTCTGTACAGGCTCATGTCGCTTACTGTTAATTTTAAATATTTCAAGGAAAAGCAGTACTGGCCACTGTACGCTTGTGGCCTTCCTGCGTAACCTTGGCGTCAAGATGTCGAAGAAATTCATTTCCACTGGCTGGCAATCACCTTCAGAGCGTGAGGCAACACCCTTAAGTACATAGGAGACAGGAAGACGCTATCGCCTGGATAACCTAATCTTAGCCAAGCAGCAGTTGCATAAACACGGGCAGGGTATGTCACAGGTCAAGTCCTACTCACTGCTTTTCTAGGATTTAATTTGATACCTGTTGTACAAAAGACATAACCAGAAAATGTTTGCTATAAAGTAACTGTCAAAGAGCTGTTTCTTCCAAACACAGATCCTCACATGGGTAGAGAAGTTGAACTTCTCTCTCAAAACTAGCAAGAAAAGATCTGCAGCTTGATTAAAGAGTTAATACTGCTTCCTCAGAGAATACCTGCCCTACGTGAAGCTCTTTGTTGGCTTTTTCAGAAACAAGAATCCTTCAGGAATTTCTTCAGGCATGATAATCGTTGTACCCTGTCCTGCAAAGGGGCAAATCCTTTTTGAAACAATTAAGAAGAGATTCCCTAGACGATCCTTGGAGAGACTTTAAAACCTCTCATTAGTTAAGTAAAGTAGTTACTTCATGCCTCGTTTTCAGCAGCGAAACTGGAATATAAACTTATAATCCTGTTCTAAATCCCCTCTTCCCTCCTCCCACTCCAGTCGTTTCTTCCTGTTAACGTTCTGTGACTCGCTATCCTTCAGCTTCCCTATGGCTTCAGAGGTTCGCACTATAAATACGATCACTGAAATTAATCTGGTTATAAATAACAACCTTCTACCTTTTTTTTTTTTTTGTATATTTTTAGCCTGATGCAGCCAGTTGAGAGGCTGGTGGTGTGTGTAAACAGGGCTGAGGAAGCAGACTGTGATGCAGACTGGGAGGGCTCAGTAGGTGGCTTCTCCATTGGAGGTGGTGTACCATGTAACTCCTCCTGCACAGTCAGACACTTGTTTGCTGGCTGCTTGTTCCACTTTGCTGGGAAAAGATGGATAAAGGGTGCCATGAACACTTCCAACGTTCAGCTGGAGGTCATTAGTGCACTACTGTTACATGGCCCATCGAAGTGATTCTGAGTTAGCTTGGTGTGTGTGCTTGATTGTGATTCTTGTTCTCTCCTCTGATCATTCTGATGGC